GATACCGTATATATTATGTTAAAGTTGTGATCATGCCTCCTTATATGTACATATGTGATAGAACATGGACGTGAGTAGATCCTACTCAGACATCGTAAATATGCGCCAAAAATTCAAAATCACCGAAACTTATATGAAATTAACTTTTGTACTACAAAGCTATAAGAGTTTCCATACAATGCAATCTCATATATCTGAGCTAGGGAACCTCTAGAAAAAATTCCTCAGAAAAAAATGTAATCTTCTTCCAATGTTTGACAGAGAGACAATAGAATTGGCAATATCATTTAAGATACAATTGTGACGGTTTATCGGCCGGCTACTATCATCGTTACAACCTTTGTAGCATTTATGCAAAAGTCCTATACGAAAAGATGAATAAAATACAGTTAGCTATCGTCATATTTTCTTCGAATAACTAATCATCTATCATTGTTGTTTTATTTCACATGATAGAAAGTGAAATTTTCTATTGATATAAAATTATTCGATAATATTCTGATAGAATCTAACTAATTAAAAATTGATAAAAGTAGTTGGATTAATTTACCGTAATTAAATTGAGTAAATTAATATAACTAGTTTGTTGTTCTTGAAGATTTGCAATAAGTGAACGAAGTTTTTCATATTGTCCATGATTATCCGGCTAGAATTAGTTAGAAGAATATTTTAAATCATACTAAAAAAATAAATGTTTACAACGAAATTTTTGAATTTTTCCATTGATTCAAGCATTGTTTGTGCTTGATCAATTGAGTTTTGTATTTGTTTTATACGACTCATAATTTTAGCTGCAGAAATCATCTATACATAAAAAAAATAAAAAATTCTTCAATTATTCTTCCATGTATTTGTTTAAATACTTCTGACGATGGATCTTGATCATTGTTAGTAATTGTATCAGTATCATATGTCTCATTTAAATCATCTTTATTTCCTTTTCCAAATGTTGGTCGTGGTATACTTTCAGCTAATAAATCATTTTCATTATCACTTTGTTGAATATTGTCATTTGGGTACACCGGATCAACAAATGACATCTTAAAATAATAATTTATTTTGATAAACGAAAAAAAAAAACAAATAATAATAGTATTCACTTGATCATTTGTATTCGGTAAATTACGTATTTTTCGTTTAACTGGCATTTAGTTATCTAGAAAAATGATAAATAGTTTTGTATATCTGTACATTAGAGATTGTGAAAATTGCACAAAAAACAAAAAAAAAACAATGCTACTATTTATCGTTTTTCTTCGTTCGTATACGACGAGCTTCAGCTAGAAGTTTTTCAATTTCATTTCGATTTGTTTCTATTCTTTGATTATTATTATCCATGCTTATAGATATATTAGATGAGTCACCATAATATTGCATTGCTAATAAATACATTTCTGATGATTGATTACGTGATGCACTTGGTTTTACAAGATGAACAATATGAAAAAGAGATTCAAGTAATGAACGCATTTCTTGAAATGTTTCTTGTCCTTGAAATAATTTACAAAGAAAATAACCATTTTTTTTTAATAATCGACGAGCAAAATCAAGAGCTTGTCGTTGAAGTACCACTATAGCTACAAAAAAACATCAAACAAGACATTTAAGTAGTTTTTAAAGTCTATATTTGTAATATTATAAGTTCATTAAAATAATGGTTTTTTTTTTCAATTTTTCATTTAAAAATTCTAACCTGAATGATCAATTTCTTTACATCCAGTAACATTTGGACACATATCGGAAAGAATTCCATCAACCTTATCAATTTTTAGACGATTTAATAAATCTTGTAATCGTTTATTACAATCATTAGTTGTTTCTTCTGTTAAATTCCAATCATCAATAATATGTACACCAGGTATTTCAAAAATTGGATCACGATCAAGTGCAATAACTATTCCACATTTTAAATCTGGATTTGGTTTATGTAATGATGTTATTTCACTGGGATGTAACAATTCATTTTGTTGTTGTTGTGCTTGAGTTTTTTTTCCTTTATTAACACGAGCATTAACCTCTTTAACAAGTACTTGTGACCATGCACCAGGTGCTGCACCCATATCAATAACAATATGACCAGGTTCTAAGAATTTATACATATTATTCATTTCAATTAATTTAAAAGCACTTCGTGCTCGATAATTTTCTTTTACTGATCGACGAACATATGGATCAGAGACATGTTGAGCCATCCATGATTTTGTATAAAGACATGTACTTATTGAAAATGAACGATAAGAAAAAAATCGTCCGATCAACATAAATATTTCAAAAGTTTGATTTTTAACAATTGAAAAATACTTGAATTACTAAAAAGGATTCTCTTTCTTTTTTCTTTTTCATCCAATTTTCTTTCCGTGTATTACCCAGAAAAGGGTAACGATGAAGCGATTACTTCCATCGGTCAATATTTTTAAAATGATGTTTTCAAGGTAACGACCTCAAAACACTTTCCTATCAATATAACGTATTGACTTCCATTTCTTACAATAGAATTTATGTATTTTTACTTTTCTTTGTTAAATTATTAATGAGCTTTAGTCATTGTTGTTTTCAATCATTCAATTATATAAACAAAATCAATAATCAATATGAGTGCGACATCTTTCGAATCAATAAAGACAGCAGAAATAAGATCAGGTTTTGTTTTCTTGGAACCGATTGTATATGATATAAATTACGATTGTACACCGTCGCTTGCCATTGTATTCACATAAACTTCTCCTCAGTAAAACGAGGATGACTTTGTCTTAGCCCTTCTCCTCGTAAACAAGAGATGAATACTTCACTTATCTAACCTAATACTTACCCTACAGCTTGTTGTTGAAATGAATCTAAATTAAAAAAAATATAGTTTAAGTTTTTTAACTCATATTGATTATTGGATTTCATCCTGGGTTCAAGAATAAGACTTTATGGAGATGGGCATCTCGGCTTATGACTAAGATATGGTCATGCTTTTTCGACCTGAGATCAGTTTTAGATAAGATCGTCAGGTTTATATTTGAATCGAATCGATCCCATCTCTGATAGATAGGTATTTTGTAGAAGAAATTTTCAAAAATGAATAATTATATTACCGAACTAGTTAGTCATGATCCTCTGAAGTTTGGAAAAAGGAAACATCATTCGATCTACTCCAGCGCTGATGACAGCGATAGTGTTTTTGAGTGTTATTGATAAATTAAATTGATTATAGAAATAGCGAAGTTTACTTTCGTTCAGATATTCAGATGTAGTTTCAACTGTTTAATAAATGTCTAAGAATAATTATATCGAATAAAAAAAATACGAGCAGTGTTTCATTTTCTTGTTTCGCAATGGTATTGATGCGAAGATTTATTTACAATAAACTTTCATATCTTTTGTTGATTGAAGTCTTCTTTCCTAATAATATGGAGAACTTTAATTGATAAGCATCATTATATAATGAAAATATGTGACTACACTAGAAGAACAACAAAGAAAAACATTATGGTTTTAGTCAAAGACAGAATACAATAATCCAAATGGACGTTCAGAATATTTATTATCGTTCTGTCTGATACGCATAAAAACATTAATATTCATATTTTCCAAATGGTAAAATGAGTGTCAGTCATGTATATGTCGCTTAGAAGCAATATTTCAATCTTGTGCATGAACGTTTACCAGCGATGAAGAACAAAGGTCTTGATAGTTCAACAATTAGACTTCATCATGAATCAGGTTATATGTGTTGTTTTAATTCAGTTTCGTAACAATCTTGACAAACATATTGCTCAGGATCATTTGAACATGAGTTTTTTGCGAGTCAAAACTAGTTATAGATTTTTGTAAAACTGTTGTTGCAGAAGATGAAACAACTTTGGACAGAAGTTACTTTTTGCAAAATTCGTGATATATTTCTGAATTTGAAACGAAAGTCAATTCGTTCAAATACCGCATTGAAGAAAACTGTAAAATCAAATAATTTACTGAAACTATCAAATGAGCAACTAGGTCATTATCGACCTTTTATCAAATAATATTCGTTAGACAAATGAAGTAGATAATAATTGTTTTTTTAAACAGTTTTATCGATTTTTAGTACAATTGTGGTTCATAGTCATTTGTTCTTGGCTAATATTTGTTTATTTATCTAGTGAAATGACTTATTAACTATATTAAAAACCAAGGCATCATGATGATATTCAGTTTTCATAAAATTACTCGCTCTTTAACATTGTTTCGTCATCGATTCACAACGGAACATATTCTGACGATTTCTTCGATTTATGAAAGTTAAAATTATCCTATTATCGATAGAGCTTTCACGTGTATGTTTTTGTTTTTCAAACATAAAATCTTACAAAACATTAGCATCGCTTAGGAAACAGAGAAACCATTTTGGTATTTTGACACCTAAGATTACCTTAATCTCAGGAAAAAAATAATAAAAGACTGGTGTTAGATGCATTCATTCTCCAATACACACTTGGAATTAAGCGATTGAAATTGTGACAAACAATATAAAACTTATATAGATTTCTTTCAAAATATTTCATCTAATAACTAACAGCAACGAATATTGAACAATATCTTTACCACGCTTTGGCTGACTGTTTTTTACAAATGATATAATTTCATTATAAGAATTGATAAGATCGGTCTATTCTTGGTATAAATAATATGAGACTTCCTATTTTAAGTTGTCTCTATATCTAAATACTTACACAGTTGCATGAGGCTGGTAATTGACAAGATCTTGACAACAGAATAAAGTCATCTAGAAAAGTGTGTTCGTAATATCTAGGTGATAATTCTTTAGTTGAGATTGAAATCAAATATAAATTTAATTAATCAATTTGTTGCAATGATTTTTAGAGCAAATTAGATTTATTTATAATTAAAACAAACAAATATTCGACATAAAATTAATCAGAAATTTTTATTTGAAAACATTATTTTTTATTTCATTATTGATAAAATAAAAACTTCACTCTAGCGAATTCATTTTATCGAGTATGATTAAAATGTTATTATTCCATATTTTGATTTTTAATAAGTTTTCTTACGTTTACTAAAACTAATTTATTTTTATCTAAAGATTTAACATCATTCGATATTTTTTTAGTTGGAGACATATTCTTTGTTTGTGAAGCACTTTGTTCATTTACATCATAACTTTCAGTAAATGAACGATGTTTTGAACGTGATGTATGTTGATTTGAATCACTATTTGTTGATGATGACCAACTTGATAATGTATTATTAATCGTTTTATCATAATTATCTTCTGAAATATCATCAATAGTCATTGGTAATGGTGATGGTGTTTTAAGTTGTTTAGATTTATGAAAAAATTTCAAAAGAGATATTTGAGAATAAGATGTATTATTATCTTTAGTTGATGTTGTTTTTGTTTGTTGATCAGATACATGTGTTTCACATTGTGATTCTACATTATCTGATTTACTTTTAACTGTTTCTTTCAAATCTCTATATAAAGAAAAGAAAATTATTAATCAAGAAATTTTATTACTGACATTTTTTCATCTTGTTCATGATTAATTGTTGTTGATGGCATGTTTCGAATGTTTTCAATATGTCGTAGACATATTTTATTAATTTCTGTTTCATGTTGTGTTTCATGTACTGAAAATGATTTACGTTTTTTTCGTGATATACAATATATTGATAAACATCCATTGAGTAGTAGAGGCATCAATATTTAACTGAATAGTGAGAGATCGAAAAGAGTTTATTTTGTTATTCTTTTTTTCTTTTCTTTGTTTTTAAATAAAAATGATGTAATACAATCAACGAAGAATATATTAAGCTTTCGAACGGAGAAATTAAATGAGAAAAGAAAAGAATGTTATTGACATAAGATACGTTATTCATTTACTTTTTATTTTTAAAAATAACATTTTATATATGGAAAATTCTCCTGTTCAATTTTTGATAAAAATTCATAAGTAATTATTGTTTTATCAGGTACACCAGATATACTTGCTGTACCAATAAAATTCACTGGTCGTGCTAAATCACACTCTGATGCATTTAATGTCAATGACATTTCACCAGAAACGGGTGAATCAATGCGAATTAATGAACATTGACTATCCCATCTTATAATTTCAGTATTTAACCAACTAGTACAATTCATTATTTCAGCAAAAACATTAATACATTCTTGAGTATTCGGATCAATTAATGCCTGAAGATAGGTTCCATTATTATAAGAGACTCCATAAAATATTCCACTGAAGTCACCTGTATATGATTGCCAATTACGATAACCAATAATTGTTTTCATATCTTCATCGGTAACTGGTTGTATAGTATAGATTCCAGATACATTCATTGTATTAAAAAGACCATTGAAAGTAAAATTAAATGTAGTACCAACTGATGGTAACATAGGTTGAGGAAAAAATAGTAAAGAATCTCCATTTATTTCAAAGACGATTGTATGGAAAAGGAGCGCTACAATGATGAAGGTTTTCATTATCGTATTTATTTACGAATGAATATGTAATTTTTCTTTTCGATTTGACTCTTTCTTTAATCGACTTTTTCAGCTCTTTCATTTTTCATCATTCTACTATCAAACCAACGAAAAATAAAAGAATCATTCCATAGTCCAAAAAGGTACTGATAAAGCATTGTAGTACAAATACTTTTATTTTCTTTTTATCCATTAATACATATTGAAGCAATGCTTTCATTCTATAATCCTTGTACAAATAAGATTAATTGCACGTAAAGTTGAGAACGAACGTTGTTCGTGAATATTTTACCTAATAATTATATACGTCACTATACGTTATCGGAGTAGATGAAAACCGACATATTCTTATGTTTTTTTCGTTGATAATAATTGATTTTTCTTTCTCTCACTCTCTGTATCGACATTGTTGTCAAAGTATTACTCGATATAGTTCGTTTTTAGTGATTGTCATCTAAAGGTCAATAATAATTTTGTCATAGTGATAGAGCAGCTCGTTCGTTTGATAATAATATTTTTGAATTAGACTTTTGTATTTATTTGGTAGCAATTGAAAATACTATTTTGATACAATACTCAAAAGCCAAATAACAAATTGCAAAATGAATTTTTGTGGGTGTGAATGTAAAAGTGATTAATAATTTTTAGATCAGGATCAAAGAAAGGTGGATATAAAATCAATAACTCTATAACGGTAACAGTTGGCAACTTGTGGTTTTTAGCAATCCAAAGAGAAGAACATCGGACATCTTTTTATCTAAATCTATATAAGACAGTTTCATGGGTCAAATTATATAACATTTTGTTGGTGATTAGCAAGTTTTATGGCTGCTATACTTTTATTTTATCTAATATTAAATATAAAAGATGTCGAGAGTTCTCGTTTTTCGATTATTGAGAATTGTAGATTGCTAGCTATTGCTATTATCGATTTGTTAAGACAATACTCACCATTCTTTATTCCTCATTTTATTTTTATAAAAATAAGATCATTTTGTCACTCTTCTCAATTAAACAGTAGTCAAAAAAGAGCTCTATCACAATAAAAATGATTAAGATAAATCGCAACAGTTAGCTATTTTATCATTACTTTTTATATGATAAATTTTGGAGAATATATTTAAAAATTCATTCCTCTAAAGACTATTACGTTAACGCTACTGTTTTGATCTGTCATCTGCATTTGTTCTCATATTTTTCATACCTAACAAAAATACTAATACAGCATATGGGTCGTGCAAAGCTAAGTGCTACAATAGAATCTGTAGTAGTTTAGTTCTATTATATAACATGAACAGTCTGATAAGGAAAAAGTATTTTTCTTTTGAGCACAAACGCTTTACAAAATCTAACTATTTTTAGTCATGAGTTATTATTTATCGTTCTATGTGAAACAAGTATTTTCGAATTAACAATCGAATCATTCATATGCATACACTTGGAGTCGTGAACTGAAAATAATGCTATAATACTTCAAACATCAAATAGACTTACAAAAAAGATTATGAATGACGTAATGATTGAGAACTTGTGGTCTTGTCAGAATAAATAATACCAGCAGAGTAATGACTCTTTAAACACGTATACATCAAGATCTATAATTGAATAAACTTTTAAGCAACGTGTTGCCAGCTATACGTTCGTTTAAGTACTCTTTCTATATATCAAGTAGTAATATTTTATTGATGATACTTATCATAGACACTTTGGCATTAAATAGAATTTCTGATAATTATTTGGAAAGTGTAGCACCATAGCTATTTATCGAGTATGTGAATATAATTGTTCTGAATTTTTCTACTTCATGTTATTGATGTCGAATATACCTATTCTTTTTGCAATAAATTTCAATTGTACATTCAAAAGTATATTATCAATAACTGAAGTATAACTAATATAACAAAATACACAAATTCAAAGTCAAATGTGTTGGGAAAGTAATCCTCCATGGATCTATATGTATCTTTCGAACAAAAGAGATAATCAGAAAAAAAAAATTTTATCTGTATCATTTAGTCTGATCATTTGTTTCAAGAGTATCAATAAATGTATTCATTTTTGGCTTCTCAATCGAATGCCATCATACCAGAAGAAGAGTTGGGACTCTGTTCAGTTAGGTGTGAGTATGATGGTGACTTACATTTTTACTCAACTCTCACTCACAAATGTAGCTAATAGATGGTTAGCTTGAGAGAAAAAGTAGTTGACACTTTGAATTGCTTTCAGTTTTTTTGGTAAAAAACTGTGACATCATCAACAGTGCTTGTACTTTCAAATTTGTAAATTCGAGTTAGATTCATTCTTTTCTGCCTCAAAGTTAGTTCTTGATGCGTCAAAATGAGCAGTAGTAGTAGATTCAGTGGATATGGACGAGAGTAAAACGAACATACACGTTTATACTCCACGCTCACACTCTCAGAGATAGCAGCTCAATAAATTGAAATTTTCAGAAGAACATGATCTAAGTTTTTGATTGTTAGTAAATTCGCACATGTCAATCAGTGAGATGCTAACATGTCTAGCTTGCCAATGCCTTATCTGTTCAACGCCACACCTAAATAAAGTTTCTGTCTAACTATTTTTATTCTTCTTTTGTCTTTTGCTCAAGAACAAATAAAGCAAAGAGAATATTAACCGATTTGTGTCTAAAAGGTAATAAAACAGTTTTCACAATAAAAATACAAACAACATCAACTACTTTTCATGACAGAATTTATCATTTAGTATCCTACATCCTTCGGTCTAACATCATTACAATGGTCGTAATATGTATCTCGTCATTAGCAATTCATCGAACTATTCTAAATTTCATACCTTTTACATAACATCCTAGACGAACTAGTCGCGACAGAATCAGTTTTATAGCTGTCGTCAAGCTAATCAATGTCGTTACGATGTAGATCACATCATTTTTGATCTTCCACGTGTAGCTGCATTCTATTGGATGATATTTATTGAAGTAATCAACATAGAGAACCATATCCACTATCAAAGCGAGCCAGAACTTGCATATCTGTCTCATTTTTGTTCACAATGCAAAAAATGACGACAAAAGCGATGACTTCAGTAAACTTGTGTCACTTTTCGGTACACATATGAATCAAAGAAAGAATGAAAATAAGAAATTCGTGCTTATGATGAGACTGGATAATAAACATAGTTGGAGTGTAAAATGTGGATGTGCTTCCATCAAATATTACATCCACATCCGTGCTGAAAATCCAGATGGTATGCATAAATGCATGTCTTACGAATGTTTTTCTATTCTATCTATATTCCATTTACTCTGACTGCGTACTATACCTGTGCTTTTCTTTTCACTAAACGTCAGTCGGGACTCTAATGTAGGCATTATTTCAACATTTAGTTAATAGAAGATTCATGAAAAATTAAATAAATAAACAGATTATGAAATGTAATCAAAACAGAAGTTTGTTGTCTATATGTTTATATACTGGCTATTTCTAATATTTCTTGCCAGAATTTTCTTTTCATTGATAACAATGGTTCATTACACTAAAGTATCATATTTCATAAGCTTTCTGAATTGATTGTTACAATACAACGAGTTTGAACAGATTTACTAGATCGACTGAATTTTAAATTTTCCGGAATGTCGATTACAGCTCTATTTTTAGGCAAACAAAATGTAAGCGAATTCATTTCGTTAAATTTCTTCTTATCGATCAATAAACATGCGCAATAATGCTAATAAATTTAAAATATATGTTCATCTTATTTTTCTGTGCTACAACACTTATGTGGTGACTCATGTTTCCATGGCGCGTAGAAAAAAGAACGAAAACACAACATTCACAGTAAAATAAGGAATGACGTGTGAGTGAAATGCGAACGAATTACGTTAGCAGAATAATTCTGTCAACTTTGTCGTTCTATTCAATCCGATTAAAACAGAAAGAATCATATAGAATAACCGAGTGACATTTTTTAATCAATTTCATAGTTTTTAACTAAAACTAAATATCACTCAAAATAAAACAATCTTTGTTTTTTTGTTCATCATCAGTCAAACAAGAATTCTTCTCGTTCTGTTTGAAGCTCTTTTCTTATTTATTGCGTAAGTGTAAATTTAATCGTCATCACATAAACAAAAACTGTTGATTAAAGAATGTTTTCTTTTTTCATAACAACAGAGCAAATGGCTAAGCATAAGTCGTACTTGTCATGGTTTTGTTACTGTTAACTCTATCATCATGTATCATAATTCGTTGCTAATTCAATAAGTATATATATCAGATTACATCGATGACGCATTAACATCGTGTCACATATTTATATACAGAACAAATAATAGTTCAAATCCGTGTAGTATAAAAACCAAAGAATACTGTAGCAATCATATTTGGTTTTATTTTACTCAATCCGAAATTGTTGTCCTTTCCGAGAATGCGTGCAATGATAGTAGCCATAACACTGAGTCTTTACAATGTCATAATGATAAATCTTTGATGCAATTTGATAAGAACGAATAGAAACATTATTATATATAGCTTTTGTCTTTCCGCCATTTTTATTTTTGTTGGTTGTTCGTACTCGTTTTGTTTTCTTCGAATGTCTACTAACGTGTGGCCATCAAATCGTGAACCATATCATGGTGACATTGTTCAAGGTCAATTGGGAAATTGTTTTCTTATTGCTTCACTTCAAGCATTAGCTTCTTGTCAACCTCAATTACTGAAATCGATTATTTCTCTTTCACCACTCACATGTATTTTTTATCGTCAAGGTCAACGTGTTGAAATACCAGTAATAATGGAATCTTTAACAAATGAGTATCAATATTGTCGTTCAACTGTCAAAGATGTTCAATGGCCTTACATTATCGAACAAGCGTATGCTCAATTTTATGGAGGTCGATATGAAAATTTAACTGGTGGAAATACATCAGAAGC